AGCGGTTAGGGTGTAGGACACATCTACTTGCAAAGTTCGTCACCTGCTGTACTCGATGATCAAGCATCCAGGTATGTACAACAAAGGATTTACCTGGTAGTGGTCCTTTTCGATCTGTCAAATAGCTACGCAGCAGATCATTGGGCAGACGTGTAGCGTGATCATCTGGGTGCAGGTATAGTACCCCATAATGTGACTGTGGGTAAGGCAGCGGAATTGTATGTGCCTCCGGTGCAATCACGAAGGCTTCATGTTGAAAGAACTGCATCAGTGACTGCTCATCGGAGTGTGCCTCATGACGGAGTTCAGATGCGCGTTGCAGTAACATCTGTGAGGCCGTACACACCGGACCTCGCGTTCGTTGATGAGGCTTCAGGAATCTTCTTTCTGAAATCCGTACATCAATCTTCATCCCGTGGAAGGTATGCCAAAAGGAACCTGGCATGAAAGCTCTCCCAGCATGTTCAACCGAACAAAAGAAATCACTTGACATACACTTCACCGTTTTGGCAATCAGTTGATACAGCAGTTGATCAGTCATCTGCGGCTGTAGTCTGATAGCCAGACGTTCGAAGTCTGGCTCTTCTGGGTCAGAGATGATGACTGCTCCAACTCTGACATTGGCTGGGCAATCATAGTCCACAAGGACGTAATAGTCGTCATTTCCTTCCTGTTCTGTTGGGGGAAGGTTTGGAACAACTGACCATAAATCCAGGTGCACATGAGGTGGGAAATGGTCGAAAAGAATCCACCGGATTTCACTTGCCAGCCATCTCCATTCGCTGATCACATCATCATCAAGGTCGAGCTGCCCTCCATCAAACCATTCATTGCCAACGATGACAAAAACGATCCTGAGCCTGCGTTGCATGGCTTCTTGAAAAGTCCTGGCCTCAAAGAGCATATTCCCAACCTGATCAAAATGCGTCGAAACAGTGGCAATGTTCTGGAATATCCGGTAGACAGTTTCCTGTTCTATCGTGGTTCCAACAATGATCAGACGATCGTGATCGTCGATGTCAAAGTAGTAATAATCGTCATTGACGATGCCCGCTTCCACAGATGCAACACTAGGCTCACCCTGCTGCAGCACACTTGCATCAGAGCTGACCATTTCTCGGGATGAGCTTCCTGTCGCTGTTCCAAAGATTGTGCTTACGGATTGTTGTGTATCCGTGTCATCGAGGTTTTCTTCTATGAGGAAGATGAATATCCCTTCATAGAGCGGAACTTCACGTCCTGGTAGATATTGTCTGCCATTAGCACGGATGATGCAGTCAGACTCAGTTCTACATAAATTTTCAGGAACAAGAAGATCGAATAGATCCCTCATCTCCGGATAGCCATCCGTACAGTCACACCATCCACTGGCTGTGAAGACTCTGGCATCACTTGTGTAGTCAAAAAGCAGCGGTAAGACATGTTCATCATCATGATCAACCACAAGCACAACTGGTACTTGTCCCATTCCAAGATTCGGGAGTGGTCGAATAGGCACAATGCGCAGATCCTGTCTGTTCACATGTTCAGCCCAGAAGGCATAGACCTGTCCTTCAAAAGGTTGGGACCGGAGCAATATCTGCTCTTTATAATTCCTGGAGGACCGACCACGGTCTCGCCAGGCATGGAAATAGGATCGAAGAATGATCCTATTTTCGCGGACTGGGGTAATGAACGTATCCAGCACGGAGAAGGCATAATCATGGAGATAGTCCCTATGGGACACCAGATCATTCTGCATCAGAGACAATTCATCATTTTGGCGTTCCCCACTACAGAGCATGTGCTCCTCAAAACGTGGCTCAAAACCTGCAAGGTCATCAAGTGTGACCGAATTAGCTCGACGCATATGCGGAGCTGTTGCTTCTGCAAACCAGTTCACGTGCAAATCGCCAGGCATTTGTAGCTCAGGTTCAAGTCGTCCATGAAGATTGGGTTGCGCAACATGGTCTTCTAAATGGCAAAGGTCTATGCCGCCTGCAAAAGATAGCTGAGTTCCACAAGACCAAGAGAAGTCAGTATCTGGTTGTGCAGTTTCGGAACCAATTGCGTGGTTGGCAAAATTCGTTCCTGAGGAAACAATCTCAGCTGCACCAAGTTGACAGAGCAAAAGGATCCCCGTCCACTTCAGACCGTATGGTTGCGGTCTGGATTTGTATGATCTTCGGCTACCTCCAACATAGCGTGCACTCGCAGGCATGTAGAGAAGCTCATCAAATCGTCCACGATAGATCCAAAGCAGGGCATAGCAACAAATGGAACCGAAAAGAAATTTCGAAAGCCACAACACACAACAAAAGCCCAGGCTAGGATCCCGTGAAAATTCTGCACAGAGTTCCAAGGGATAAATAGTCAACACATAGCTCAAAATTTGCCAAGGAATGGCTGCAACCGTCTGTGCACGACTCGGGAGACCAATGATTCGCTGAGAATACCAGAGGAAACTAGCAGTCTTGCATATACCATCAAAGGCCTGAACTAGACACCAACTCCAAAGTAGGAGGTACAGCATCCAGAAAAACGAGGACAGGAAATGAATCCCAGGAAAACGTACAGTCCGGGACAACCAGACTGTAAAGAGATTTGGTCAAATCTGCAGCAAATCCAAGAAAATAGTAGTCAGTGTCCACAGCAGCTTCCCCAAGCAGATCCAGTGGTTCTGTCCACAAAGTACTACCCGTCAGTGTCCTCGTACCCTTGGGCAACCTGGACCAATACGTATCAAACATCGCAAGGCTCGAAACCAGCTGCGACATGCGAAAGGATATAGCTTGGCGTTGCGCATACCGTTGAAGGTTCCACAAACACCAGCCATTAGAGAGGGACTGGTAAAAGGGTATTGCCGCTTTGAAATGTAGCGCAAAACCCCAAAAACGTTGGCTTCAAATGGCCAATACTCTGCCTTTGTATAGCATTCCCCCAAGAAGCTATACCTAAAACTGACTTCATAGATCCAAGCTTCAGGACATCCCATTGAGACCGCGAGGCGTCCTCAAAGGCGTCGTGCGATGCCTGCGGATCATGCGATCTCCTCCCAACCGAAAAGGCATCAATGCTGTCTCGGTGCCCGTCATCGCACCCTCTACTTCTATGGCTGCAGCTGCAGGGAGTCCAGCTTGCTGACGATCGGCAAGAGCTTGGATCAATATCAATTTCTTGACCTCGGCCGGCTCTTGATACTTGTCCATCTCCAAATTCATATGGTCGTTGACAAGATCCCTCATCTCGCTCGGGAGCGATGTCAACAATTCCCTGATCTCTGTCTGCTTCACCAAGTCCTGGTCTCCAAGTGCTGCAGTTTCTGCATTGCGCTTCAATGGAGACCTCGACCTCCTCCGTGGATCGTAATCGCCAGAAGGGGGGAACTCTGTCACACGTCCCAAAGCACCATGATCCACGTTCTCTGGCAAAATAGCGGAAGGCCGGTGCACTTCTTGTGGCGAATCCTTGTTCCACAGCTCGCTCTTGTGTGTAGTCTGGATCGCTGTGACCAGAGTCTGCACTTGGCTGACCAAATCCTGGTTTCTCTGCTCCATGGCAGCCACATACGAAGTCATCTGATCCATCTTGTCTTTGACCTCGTCTAGCTCCTTGGCCAGATGTTCTTTCTCCAGGTCCATGTCCTCGTCTTCCTCGGGCACATCTTTTCCTTCTTCGGCCAACTTCAGATCCATTCGGAGTTGTTGCATTTCCTTGGCATGAATCTCTTCGGCCTTCTTGAGGCCGGCGGCCATACCATTTTTCCATCTGCCATAGCTTGCTTCCTTCTTGTCCAAGTCTTCTTTGATCTTCTCGACCTTGGTCAAGTTCTTCCGAGCCTTGTTGAGCTCCTTCTGCTGCTCTCTCAACTTCTCCCTTGGATCCGGCTCGACAATCTTCTTGATATAGTCGGGAATTGCTGCAGTGTCGTTCTTGCTGGACATGAAACGGACTGCTTCCTTGAGGCATCTGTTTTCCTCCTGCATGGCAGAGGACATAGTGGAAAGCGAGCCAGCTGAGGAGCCACCATCGCCAAAATCGAGCTCGATCTTGTGGCCGTCGTGCCCCACCAGGACTGGTACATTCTTTCCCTTTTGCTGCTTGCCATCGTTCTTGGGCTTCTCCTTGTTTGTTTTCACTTCCTTGGTCCTTGGCCAGGACTGCTTCCATTCTTCCGCTCTGTAATTCCAGGCTTTCTGCTGCTTCCATGACATTGTCGGAAAACGCAGCTGATACCTTGGTCTGCTGTGGTGGCAAGTGAGAGTCCTGAGAGCCCTGAGCAGCTTCAACCTTGATTTTATTCTGAATCTTTTCTTCTGTTTGACCCTTCTGAGGAAGGATCTAGCAGAGGACCGCCTCAACCGCAATCGTCTATGCCAGGTAGGTGATCGCGGTGCCGTTGGTCTCAAAGAGTGACCCCCGTGTGGAAGTCAAGGAGAACAAGCCACACTAGTTAGGAGTCGCCGCCAAAAACGCGATGAATGGCGCGCGAACGACGAGCGTGAGCTCTGGGGCTAAACAAGAATTCCGTAGCTGATACTACGGCTAGCTTGAGCCCTTTCACTTTTTGTGAAAAACAAACAGTTTGATTGAATAAACGACTACAATGTTCTGTCGAGCCAACGATGTTTAGCATCAGAAATCAGATTCTGCGAGGATGGACCGACACGTTCATGTCGCTACCCTTTTGGGACACAGCATGTTCTTTGATCTGCGACACATAGCATGCTGGGGCATGAGCAGTAGCCAGGGTCTGTGACTGGGATTCAGTTTCTATCGCTGTTTGTTTGAAGCGCTCCGCACCCAGTAACTTGTGGTGTAGTAGCTTTTGTAGGTCCGTTTTTCTGCTTGTATTTTTTTTGCAGTGTGTATGTATCATATTATATGCTTCCTGAACCTGAGTGACACCTCTTTTCAAGCACGAACCACTCAAGAATGTATTTTCTGAGAGCAGGGGAGACAGGTTCTTGTCACATGCAACATGTGCTTTCGGATGAATCGCCTTGGTGCCGACTCAACAGGTCCTGGAGTGAATGCCAAAAGAGGAGGTCTCAACCGGCGTACACCCGCAGGGAAGCCTGGCGACTGCACCAAGAAACAGGAGATGTGGTGACTTAAATATGTCTCCTTTCTGCAAAGGAGGTCATTTCTTGTGTCCTAAAAACAGTTCCATCCGCTGCGGAGTCAAAAGGGAGGTTGGTGCGATGATGAGCAGACCACCGAGGTTGACGCAACCATTGAGCAAAGTTAAACCGCTTGTTGCATGCTTGGTTTATTTGCTCGGCAAACCTTCAATAGTACTTGAACTGCTCTTGTGTTTGAATCTCACAGGACGGCTGCTGTTCGGTTGCACCGAGTTCCTTGTCCCCGAAATAGAATCATATTTGAGAGCCTGATTCAGATGAGATGCATTCTTGCGAGTACAACCAGTGACGATGTGATGTACATGACCACGTGTGCAGAGATCGCTCCCTTAGCAAGAGAACCAGAACCAGCGCACATTATGGTTGTTATAAGGTATAAGTTATGCATGGTTGTGTATTGATGTGTATAGTCGGAGCCATGTTTAGCCGGAACAACTTTCAGACTCTCAGAACGGCCAGCATGGGTCGCATGACCGCCGTTTGGAAGTGATCTTCCAGGTCGGGATCCTCGAACTGGCTTTGCAGGGAGACCCAAACGTCAACAGTGGCAGCTCAGTGGGGCAGCTGCCGCCTGGGCATGTGTGTGGCATATGATCACTTTGGCTGCCAATATAGTGTATATAGACATATGCAGACTGTTGATGAATAAAATGCATCATATGGATATGATATATATATATGTACAGCCATTCTGTCAGGGGGTGTTTGATTGAGCAACTGTTTACATGAAGCCCAACCACATCGGTGGACTGTCTACATAATCCACATCGGTGGATTCACGAAATGGCCCGGTGGCGCATGACACATCACAAGGCACCGAGTAAGACCTTCCCTCAGGAGAAGGTGACCTCGCCATACCTCACCTGATGAGTGAGTGACCAACAGGTGCAGGTCCATGAAGAGGTGTTCTTGCAACTTTGAAGTTGTTCATTCTTTGCTCAAGCCACGTCCATCGACCCAGATGGGCCACCAATTGAGCAGACGGAGCCCTTCCAGGGCAGCGCCGTTTGCTGAGGAAATGCGCCTGGGCGATCCCGAAGGCATGAATCATGGTCAGCTGCTCAGTTCAAAGTCATCAAACAATCACTGAGTTGAATGCCTGGTAAGTCCCTAGCAATCAAAGGACTGCATGCTGAGTTTCATCAGGTCCTTTGCGGGTCTTCACCGGAAACGTCTGGAACTCGGGAGCCCAGCTTGTCACCTTATCCGTTTATGAAAGGGTTGCACCGGGACGCCTCATAAGATGTTCGCAACCTCACCTGCGAAAAGGGAGCCTTGAAATGCTAGTTGTGGGTGAAGAGTGACACATATCACATTTGAATGAACCCAAAAACCATTGGAATATCAATCCTTTTATTTATATAACCACCCACGAGCGCAAAAAGCCAGAGGGAGCTTCGCAGTGGGAGCCCCACAGCGACGCTTCCCAAGGCACATCCCAAGCTTGCAAATTCGATCGCGCAGAAGATCGGTACGCTCGGGAGGGGATGGAGTGGCTACAGTTTTTGGGTGGCAAGGATCAGTAGAGATGGATAGTGCTCTAAGTTCAAAGCCATCGCTCGTAGGTTGGAGGCCATCACTATCAGAAACAAAGAACAAATATGGGACAACTGGAGTTATTGTGTTCAAGGATTGAGTCCTTTTCCCGAAGGTGTTCTCCCCTGGCTCCTGCAGGTGTTTTCCCTTTGTTCATCCAATTTTGCCAAAGCCAGATCACATCTTGTGCATTATAATTTGCATTTGTTGGTGTTCAACTTGGTTGGACATATTGGAAGATGTTGCAATGTTCTGTCAGTTTTCTGCAAGTGACCAGCATTACCCTTTCTCATGTTATTGTACCTTCCCATCTGAACTGAACATCCTTCGGGTAGCAATTTCACGACACAAAAGATCAAAAAATACCAATTTCGTTTTGCATCATGTTGGCCACATCGGGTCTAGAATCAACTCTCGCTGGCCACTCCTCCGCCATGTTCCTGGGCCCGGTCAACTTGCCTGATTTCCCTGGGTCAAGGCACGCGCCCACGCGGTCTTATATTTGACCCCAACCTTTCCTGTCGCCAGTCAAAGCAAGACATGAACAGGTAACACAGTTTGCAACCATCGTGAAATTCTAAAAGAAAACAGGTATTGACTTGGGCAACGCCACTGTGGGACGCTTTCCTTGCGGAGAGGTGCGGATGGGAACTCTGTCTAAAAGTCACCATGTTGTGATGGGGATGGAGATTTGTCGCTGCAAACAACCACCAATTTCGGAATGCCTGCGTCAATGCTGAGCGTAGCACCCAGGTTTGGAGATAATGAGTCATGAGTGCATAGAAGGCCACATCAGTATATCAACGCATCATTCGCTCAGCTTCAGATTCGCTCGCTTTTGCCTGCAACCCTTTGCTCTTTGTGTTACTACTCTACGTTGATTCTTTTGCACAATCCGAGTGATTCAGTTTCAGTTCACTTAAACATATATGTTCCTTGCGTGTTGATTTTGGAATGCGGACATATTTGCCGGGGCTCCACGGGTGCTCTGCGGGGTGCGGAGGTCAACGTGGTGCTCAATGAGTCAGTACGAGACTGTGACGTGTTTGTGATTCAGCAGGGCTCTCAGAAGCAGCAACTGAGACCGATTTAGAGGTTGTTGATTTATCTACTGGCCTTTGCAGATGGGCAAGTCTTGCCGTGTCTGAACGGAAGGTTTTGGGCCCAGGAGACCTGAATTTGTTTGTTAATGCACCAGGATTTCTTTCAAAGGCGATGGTGAAAGCAGTGGTGTCAAGGAAGGTCCAAAGCATTTATCAGATGTGGCGACTTGTTTAGAGATCATTCGATCCAATTAGTAGCTAGTTGTTCCTAGTAGTACGGCAGCCCCCAGCAACGAACAGGCCCTTTAAGGCTGGATCGCTCCGCGCCAAAAGAGGCCCACATGCAATGGTGGTGCTGGCCCCCAAGAGCACTTGGTCGTGCGCAACTCAGGTGAGCTGCATGGGGGTTCTTGCCGGTAGCATAGGCAAAGTTCAGGATGTTGAGGTGTTTGGGTGTTTGCTGGATGGTTGCTTTCTCCCGCTCTTCATCATCCTAGTCCTTGTGTCTTTCTTCGTTCGGTTTTAGCTGTCTTGTCGCTGTTACCGAGGAATTGCTCATAATGCTTGATGCAATTCGTCGGGCTCCCAATGATCAATGGTTATGAAGTTAAATAACACGTAAACTATATTATATATTATATCTGAAGCATTCCCGAGCACTAGATCTAAATGTCAAAATTCAGAGGGTTTTAACATGTTGTCAGACGGCAGCAAGAAAGCTATGCCAACATTGCCCCCTGCATGTGTGTGTGTGTGTGCGCGGTCTGTTCCAATGTGGCGCAGTGACAAGCCAGAGTAAGCCAGAGTGGATGCCTTATTTGGATCAGTGAATGCTAGAATCGATGTAATGAACTTGTTGTTTTTGCTGATGAGAAATGGATTGGACTGTACTTGATCAAGACCCATCAAAGACTGGAAATCATTAAAAAGATTAAAAAAAAGAATAACAATAATAAACAACATAAATACAAAAACAGAAAACCCGGTCAAAGACCGTCCTTCCCTCCATTTCGAGTTGTGTTGTTTTTGTTTCTTTTTTTTTTCTTGTTTGTTTCTTTTTTGTTTAATTTTTTTTAAATTTTTTGTTTATTTTTTGTTTTGTTCCTAGGGTTTTTACAGAAAACCTGATTTCAAGGCCAGCTTTTGCTAGAACAGAAAAAAACGGAACAAATAGACGTGTTCTGGGTGCTTGTGTTAATTTTGTTTTATGTTTGTTTGTTTTTTGTTTTTTGTTTGTTGTCTGTTGTGTTTACACATTTTGTGATTGTTTTTTTTGTGCTGTTTGTTTTTGGTTTATTTTTGGTTTTTATTATCTTTTTCAGGATCATCAGTTATTGATTATTTATTTTTCATAACACTGTATGTGCTTTGATTATACGAAGAACAATACAAGTCATCAGTAGGCACTTCCAATGACATCGACTACTAGTGTGCTATTGGTCAAAAAGGTATAATCATTGCATGCTATATTGCCATACCTATATTACCTAAGTGTTGTTGGTTGTTACTGTCGAAATGGGAGCATTATTGAAATCTGAACAAGATAGCTACTCATATTGCTGCGCATTCGTCCTCGCTCAGGCCGGGGTGCTGCCAACCGTGTGACGGTGCGCTTGAGGGTTCTTTGGTGTCCACTGACGTAGGACTTTCGCTACACCAAACTTGTTTCATAGGGGTTGGCCTAATTTGTTAATTTCAGGAGACCTGTGGGTCTTTGAGTGGGGGGTGTTTGGTAACCATGCCCCTACTTGTATCTTGTTCCTGATAATTTGATGTCCACCATATAACAATCTTATCCTTCTAAACAAGAGCCGAAGACATCTCATCCTGGAAGCAAGCGCTTGGAAGCCATGAGGATGGTCTCGAACTCACGGCTTCCATGCTGGACCGTTGGAACCTTTTGGAACAGGGACACTGCTCCAAGTATCTCCAAGTTTGTCGTGAGGCGATCATTCCTCTTTACGGCTATGCCCGTCAGAATGCCAAGGACCCTCCAGGGCCTGTGTTTTCCAGATGACGCTTCAGAGTGGGGCATGCACGGCAAGCGTATCATTTACACATGGGCACGGCTCAAAGGACCATGGTAGGCCTGGTAGGCCATGCGCAACTTCTGCTGCTAGACGCTCGACTGCTGTGTTCATGTTTGAGAATGGATCTGAGTTTCCATGAGTTTCTTTCCGAGACCACATATTATGATATTGAGTGGCTGCAGGATGATGGAGGTAGTGTTTCCTTAGGGGGGAAGATTGCAGATGAGAGATGATGAGAGAGCTCTATACATGAGTCGTGCCGTGCGTTTGCTTTAATCGCTCCACGGTTTTGATATTCCTACTCTTGCGCGTCGATTTGTACCAAGCTCAGGAGAAGAGCCGCTCGCCCATCTCTGCACGTTTGGTCACTGACATCTTGCAGGCCTTGACATACTTCAAAGTGTATAGACTACTGCTGGGCTGCTTATTTTCGAAACAAGCTGCACGCCAGTCTGCGATTGCAATGATAGAGCTAATTGTTTCACACCAGTGGTTGATGCACTAGCTGCATGCATGTTTGAACAACGCATACCAAGGCAATGTCGATGTGATATATATATATTATTATCATTGTATATCATTATTATACATTTGTTTGACGATATCTATTTTTGAACATGAGTGAACCCCGGAATAGAACAGCAGCACCCCAAGAATGTTTTGCAAGTCGTTCCTGTTTGACCTATCTGACAGAGAGAGAGAGAGAGAGTGAGGGGAGGGAGGGAGGAAGGGAGGGAGGGAGAATGATTTAATATGATTTATATAATTACATACTCTCCATGAGAGGCACCCACCACCACGTCCAATGAACAGGTGGCAGGTGCTCACCGAGTGGTCACTGTGGAGTTGCATGCCAGTCAGATCCAGGCACCCTGCAGAGGTTTCTCAGACTTGGGGATCGGGATCAGCCCCCCATCAAGGGAAAGAAGAGGATGAACAGGTTGTTTGAATTCAATATATAACGATCCTGTGAATTTCAAAAGCCAAACGTTTCTTTCAGCAGGGCTGGGCTTTCATACAAACACAATTTAGTCCGTAGGACTTCGAGTAGCAAGTTGTCGAACCGAGCGTGCCCCAACAGCCGAAATGCAGCTTCAAAGACGGCCATCTAGTATGCATATTTTTGGGGGACCGGGCTTGTGGTAGGTAGTAGCTAAAGGTAGGTAGCTAGTAGAATCAAACGACAGCTAGTAGCCAACAAGTAGCTACTACCTAGGATGCAGGATAGCTCACGCTTCTTCAAGGAAGCTCCCCCCGCCGCTCAAACCGCGGCGGGGGAAGCTTCCTTGAAGACGCGCTCGCACTAATGATTAAGGTTTCTAGATTTTTCGGGAAACTTAACTTATTGCACTTGCATTAGTGCTTGTGAGTGCGTGAAACTCTTGCTTCGTCAGGTCTTTTGTCTTGAGAAATCAGGGATAGCTCCAATGGACCTCGCCAAGCCTTTCAACTAGTGGGCTAAGCTTCATAGCATTGTGGCCTTGAACTATATATATATATACATATACACGGAGAATATCGACACTAATGCTGAGTCCCTTACTACCTACAATATCTAGATTGAATAGATCTTATTCTGCCTCCTTAAGTCTCATCAAGACAAAGACGCAAGAATACGAAGATTCTTCGAGCGCAGCTAAGCGCTCTCCACCTTTGCGTTTCCTAAGGGCTTTGCCACCTTCCCCATTGACAACATGTATGACGGGGCCTCAGCGGAGCGAGCTTCAGCTTCACCGAACATTCGATGGCGGTGACGCGCAGACCGAGACCGCAGATTCCGGGATTTTGGCTTCGCTCTGGTTAGAGCCGTGATGAGTACTCACCAGACCTGATTTCACCAATCGGTTTTTGGGAGGGACTGCAAACCGCAAACCCTCAAAAAATTGACTCAAGCCTTCTATTTTGCAGTTTGGAGTATTTGAGAGGTTCAACTTGTCGAACTGAGGCTTTGCCCCTGTTGGCCAAGGAGGTCGAGAAACTCATGCGGCAGCGAGGCCAACGCTGGAAGGGTTTGGTTGCGGGTCCTCTGAGGGATTCCAGACTTTAATCCATGACCCAATTGGCTGAGGGATCTCTTTCTCTATATATACAGTATACATATATGTCAAGCAACTAGATATCGTTAAGAAATCTACAGTTTGTATAATGTTCTGTGGACAGTTTCCTTTGGACAGGCTTTCAGGCTGCTAGGTCCAATCCTGGTCCTTCATTTTACTGTTTCCCTAGTGCGAGATAGTCCGAGTACGGTTGGGGCATGTCACGATGGAAGTCCTCTTGTTTGCCCCAGGACTGACTGCAGAAGATATTGCCGGGTCCTTTGAGAAACACTTGGAATATGATTTGTAAAGAGAGTAGTTCGGTCGTGACCTGTCAGGGTAAAGAAGACAAGACAGGCACTGACAGAGTAATGTCACTCATATAAGCTTGTTTACATTCCTGCAGCTGGAAAGATCGATAGCGACAAGATATAGCCCATTCCAATGTTTGAAAAGCCGATGCAAAGCATAGTAGAAAACTACTTTCAACAGGATTTGTGTGTTGAGGCGCTCTAGGTTCTTGCGAACTGAAACCAGACATGGAACTAAGAGTGCTTCAGGTGGTCGTCAGCCCCGATGTGGGCGGCACCAAAAGGGCCTCGGTCGGCGCCCATAGAACACTTTTGACTAACCACGACATCAGAAGTACATGCTCACGTCGGAGATCTTTACCTGTACTGCCTCTCATAGGAAGCACACGCGTTACAGCGTTACAGCACATTCATGTAATGTTTGCTCGTTGTTGAACTTTTATTTTGGTTTTATCAGTTCTCATGGACGCGAGAGGGACAGAGGGAGTGAGAGAGAGAGAGAGAAGGACAGCTCCCTGAAAGATTTGGGAGACGTGCTTTGACTGCTTTGAATGTGGGCCTGGTTCTTTTTGAGCGTGCATCGGTATCGGCCAAGGCTTCATTGTGCATTGGACCCCATGGATGAAGAATCTTATGAACTCAATACACCTTACACAGGCCTGGAGGTTGCTGAGACCATGTCCGCATTTGACTTCTAAACCGTTTAAGTCTAAACCTCCTTCCTTCTGGACAACATGCGACATTCAATAAATGGACATAAATGGAGCCTTGAGAACGGGGGTTTACAGGTTGTTTGATGAGGGCGAAACACTGAAGAGCAGTGTGTTGGATAGTGTTGGTGAAATATCTCCTTGTTGCTCACCAACATTTGATTCTGCAGTCCTCTACTCTTGCCATGTCCTTTGAGCTTCCCACATGTTCCGGTGACCAAGGGCATGGCCAAAATGCTGTGTAGCCCTTTGGCGATCTTCTCGCGCCAGCGAAGAAGGGCGACGGAGAAATCTGAGGCGACGGTCGGCGCCAGCCAGACGGTCGGGTATCGACTTCACCATGCACATGGCTGACATGTGTCAAATCAAGTGTCAAATCAGTATCATGGTACGATGTGTGGTATTTAATTCAAGTCACCACCCCCCAGTAAGAGTTCAACGATGGAGACTTTTAGGTATTATATAAGCTGAGATTCCAAACTGTTGTACTTGCTGCTCAATGCACATGTGTCATCATGTGTCCTCAAAATGTGCGTGGAACCGCTGTCGGGGGGATGTCTCCAGGTGGACCTTGTTGGAGAAGTACAAGGTAGCATTCCCGCTCCGGGCGCCAGATGTCTCCCGTTGGATCTCGCCAGCCAGAAGGAACCACAATGGTCCTCGAAGCAAGAAGTAACATGAGCCACAGTCGAAAGAGAGAACCACGAATTGTTTAGTACTTTGCGGCAGCAGGCAAGACCTGCGTTGTGGTGGACGACATTGCTGATACTGCAGAGACCCTTTGCCAAGCGGCGGATAAGCTGAAGGCTGCTTGGGTGCTGGCTGGTTGCATGGAGAGAACACTGACGGGCTTCTCCTGGTTTCTCCATGTCCAGTCTGTATCGCAGAAGGAGGTTTTTTCCCCCAACTGGATACCCAAGAACAGATTGGTAGGACCATGGGTTCACCAAAGCATACCAAAGCTATGTATTGTTCTTACCATACAAAGCATACCAACAAATGCAGTGTTTGGGTTTGGGTGCGTTTTGACCATCCCTCATGTAGAAGAAATGGTCCAAATCTATGGTTCGGGGCGGCACCTGTGCTTGGTTTAGGGTGGAACGGGGACCATGACCGTCATGACCGTCCCCAAACGGCTCCTCCAAGCAGAGACCATGTTTATGTCTGAGGACTTCTATATAAGCATGTTCTAGAAACCTGGGCATCAATCAATCATCATCATATATAGTTATACATATATAATGTCTATATTATATTATGATATGATATATTATAAGTATATATATATATATTAAAAAAATATTTTTTCTTTTGCCAGGAGCATTTTATCTAAAGCATGAGGGTACTTTTCCTCACATGTTGCATTCACAACGCATCCCGTTGCGTCCTTCCCTCGAGGCACGTGGCGCCTCGGCAGTGCTGGGCGTCGTGGTGCACGGCATCCTCTCGGAGCGGCGACGCACGACACGAGGGACGCGGCGACGCAAGACCGAGCGCCCCCGAACGACCAGACTCCGGTCGACAGGACGGGCTAGTAGCGTCCTTGCTCCTAGTAGTAAGGCCAGGAGCCCCTAGTAGCTTCTTGTTACTAGTAGTGGGAAAGAAGAGATGGACACCGGATCCTGGACCCAGGATCTCACGAGTCCATGAGCTAGGACATGCTAGGACTGCAGAGTCTGTTGAGCAGCCAAGTAGTAAGGAGCTTCATGGTTTGGTGATTTGGGCAGCTTACATGTGAGTTGTGTAAAGAACCCATCTGCCGCCAGTGTGGTTCTTGTTCTGACACATCCCATGAGTGCCCGGTCTAGTGGTGTATTCCTCACCAAGAAGGAACAAATTATAACAAAGACGTGATTTCGGAGGAGATATTCTGGATTCTGGACATCATAATGCGGGCTTTTCTTTCTCAGAGAGGTGTTCGGATGTTTTCGGAACAAGGACTTGTTTAACATGAGCCAGTTATAAACACTGCGGAGATCTGTGGAGGACCCTGCGTGCGAAAGCATCATGAAATCGCAGCTTGAGACTGTTTTCGTGGAGGGCTCAGCTATAAAATAAGAGACAAAACGCGTCAATACAAGAAAAACACAGGCACTTTTGTTGTGTTGTCACCGAACTCGTTGAATCGCCTGACTTGGCTGCAGATGATTGTTACTAGGCAGCT